TATACCGGTATCTGCAAGAAGGGGACAAAAGCAGATTTAAGTACATTGTACTAGTAAATAAAACAACATCTAACGATGTTGATTGTTCACTCTAAATTCACGAGTTCATAGAAAGACACCCCCTATAATAAAACTCTTTGATGGGCTAACAATTTAACTTACAGGACAAGTTTTTGCGTCATATGGACCAGTTCTTTGTGATTATTTTGGATTTAATTGCATTTCTTTCATTTTTTAGCTCACCTGAGCTGAAAGCTCAAGTGAGCTTTTCTGATCACCCGTTGTCCGTCGTCCGTCTGTAAACTTTTCACATTTCAACTTCTTCTCAAGAACCACTGGGGCAATTTTAACCAAGCTTAGTACAAAGTATCCTTGGGTGAAGGGGAGTTTAAATTTTTAAAATAAAGGACCAAGTCCCCTTACAAGGGGAGATAATCAAGAAAAGACAAAAATAGGGTGGGGTCATTAAAAAATCTTCTTCTCAAGAACCACTGGGCCAGAAAAGCTGAAACTTATGTGGAAGCATCCTAGGGTAGTGTAGATTCTAAATTGTTCAAATCATGACCCCCGGGGGTAGGGCGGGGCCACAATAGGGAATCCAAATTTTACATTGAAATATATAGGAAAAATCTTGAAAAATCTTCTTCTCAAGAACCACTGAGCCAGAAAAGCTGAAACTTATGTGGAAGCATCTTGGGGTAGTGTAGATTCTAAGTTGTTCAAATCATGACCCCCGGGGGTAGGGCGGGGCCACAAAAGGAAATACAAGTTTTACATTGAAATATGTAGGAAAAATCTTTAAAAATGTTCTTCTCAAGAACCACTGAACCAGAAAAGCGGAAACTTATGTGGAAGCATCCTGGGGTAGTGTAGATTCTAAATTGTTCAAATCATGACCCCCGGGGGTAGGGCAGGGCCACAATAGGAAATACAAGTTTTACATTGAAATATGTAGGAAAAATCTTTAAAAATGTTCTTCTCAAGAACCACTGAACCAGATCTAGAAAAGCTGAAACTTATGTGGAAGCATCCTGGGGTAGTGTAGATTCTAAATTGTTCAAATCAAGACCCCCGGGGGTAGGGCAGGGCCACAATAGGAAATACAAGTTTTACATTGAAATATATAGGAAAAATCTTGAAAAATCTTCTTCTCAAGAACCACTGAACCAGAAAAGCTGAAACTTATGTGGAAGGATCCTGGGGTAGTGTAGATTCTAAGTTGTTTAAATCATGGCCCCCGGGGGTAGGGCGGGGTCACAATAGGTATTACAAAGGGGGAAGTCTGGTAGTGAACAGCATGGCCAAAGTTACTCAGGTGAGCGATGTGGCCTATGGGCCTCTTGTTGTTTTTTTTAAAGATACCTTTCATTATCCCTCATCAAAATGGAACATAAACGAATTTTCACAGTATTTTTTTTTTCTTAGAACAAAATACTGTACTGCATGTACCTCTTCCTTGTTCGGTTCCTTATGAATTTTTTTTTTTAAATTCCGCCCACGTGAAGTTCAGTTTTTAAGTGTAAATTTAAATAGAAGAGTGTTTTTAAAAACCTCTGATTGCTTGCGCCTATAAACACAGTAAGAACGTCCTTTTTTCCTTTTCCTTATGATGAGGAAATAATAAAACGAAAAAGATCATTCGTATTATATCTGAAAAAAATGGCACTCTCGTGTGGTAAGTGTGTTTTTCTTTATTGGTTTTATGTAGAATAAAGAACTCGTGACTTCTTGATTAAAGATAAAAGATATTATAAACAAAACAAAACAAAAAGTTAGTGTAAATAGCGGACACTGATAAAATCTATTAAACAGCTGATAAATGAAGTAGACGAAGGAAGTATCCTGCACTCTTAAAAAAGTTAGAAAACACGTCGTGTACTTTTTTTTGTTAAAAAATTAGATTGATGTAAAATCAACCGAACACTAAGTCTTGCTGTGAGTTTTACAACACTGGTGTGCTTACTTCACCTAGCGCAGGCACCGGGTCCTCCACTATATCACTAATTAAGGTCTTTTGTCTTAAACGGAAGACCTTAGATTCTTTTTATTATATGTTATTAATAGTGATTGTAAATTATTATTTTTATTCCAAAATTTGGTGAGCGCTATTACTCAGAAATATCTAGATAGATTCACATTTTTAATGGCTATATCATGTGAGAGGTACCGGGATCGATACCCGGATTCTCCACCACTTATCATAACCGGGTCAACCTCATTCCGGACTCCAGCCTAATGGTTCTTATTTTCTGTACCTCAACCACTGAAGTTTGAGGAGGCAGAGTCCCGAATGACATTGGGCCGATCATGCATTTGTTTGTATAACCCGGGATCTTTGGCTATGCAAGTGAGAGGACGCACCAAGTGGGATAACTCTTATAATCTTTGAGCTTGGTCGAAGTGACCCAAGTCAACTTTTTATTTCTGCGAAATGACCCTTGTATATTACGCTTCCAATTTCCCTCTAAATCTGAGGACCTTCCCTCACCAGAGCGGCTCACAGGTGTTAAGGTGTGGCACTGTTACCCAACCTGTATAAAATGCAAGCAGAGACAGACACAATCCAGTTTCTGACTTTATTAAATTAAACAATCCATTTTTTTCTATTAATGATTACAATAAATATTTTTACACAAGATACTAAACATTATAATAAACATTACCACTTATAATCTAAATATTTAAACCTGTAAATAAAATTAGCCATCTGAAAATTTTACTTAAGTTTTATAAAAACGCGCAAGTCTACAAAATGATCTCACCTGTATAAAATGCAAGCAGAGACAGACACAATCCAGTTTCTGACTGAATGCGTCTGGCCGTCCGCTCATTTTATACCAGGTGTACCCTTGTAGTTTTACATCTCCATATTTGTAACTCCCTCGAAATTTGCCATAATTACTTTAAATTTTAGTTTGAATTTCAGTTACCATTATTCTGTCCTCCAACACCCTTTAGTTTCCTAATGCACTTTAAAAATCATTTTCTATCTTTTGCATAATTTTTAAATATTCTTTGTTGTAGCTAATTTATACTAACAACTGACCTCTGGTCACCTCAATACTATTGGTTGCTCTTTTCTCCTTACCAAATACATCTTTTGATAAACAAGTAACAAAGCGCATTCCAATCTATAATGTATCATTTTCTTGGAACCGTCCAGGTGAAAAGGTCAAACCCTAGTGGCCAGCATCTATGTTTATTTTTTTTATCTTCAGAGCTTCGTGTCTGTTATCTGTCTCAGCCGAATAGTGCAAATACATCAAAATATGTTACATTCTTATTTTAATGCAATTTTTGTTATGATAGCTACATGTAATAGGTTTTTTATTATTATGAATACTGGTTTTTCACGTCTTTACCAATGGTCATAAAAACTAGAGATTTTTTGCAAATTTTTTTCGCGTAAATAGTAGTACGATCCGGATTTTCCACCACTTGTGTATTTTACAGTTTTTAAAAAGGATAATAGTATATGTAAAATTTATACAAAATTCCGGGTTTTTTAATCACTTACTGTCCGGAGTTAAGGCCGAATTTGAAATTCCGTCTTCAAGTGCCAAATACATGTATATTATTTATTTTGAAGTCAGATGACACGTTTTCTATATTCTGCATGGCTACTTTCATTTTGCAGTAAAAAATCAATATTGACAGGACATCTTCTAGATACTCCCTATTTTTATTTACATGTAGCTAGTATATACATGTTTCTCCATATACAAAAATCAATATATATAGAATATCATGTAGAGAAAGATGCATTTATACCTTTGTATACATGAACTATTAAGAAAAAAAAAGTAAGGAGTATCTAGTAAATATTCTTTCGGCAGTACTTATGGTACTTCGATTTTCATTGCGATTGAAAATTGCCTCCATCTTTGTATAATATTGAAAATTGTATACAAGGATCCGATGGAGGCTATTTTCAATCGAAGTGAAAATCGAAGCACCATTATGATAAGTACTGCCGAAAGGGTATTTACTAGATACTCCTTATTTTTTTTCTGACTATTTCATGTGTATAAATGGATCTTTCTCTACACATAATAAATATAGTGCAGTGAAAAATCAAAGTACCGTAAGTACTGAAATGACATTTTCTTTTCTTTTACAATAGATATATCATGGTGAATTTAGTAGGTGGAAGTAAATGCAAAATTTACAATATGTAGCAAATCAAAATTACACAAGTACATGTACCTAACTATGGAATCTAAAATCAATTTTTAAATATCTATTTTACTGTATTTTATAATGAAATTAGGGAACACTAGACTAGTTCAAATATGAATAGTAGTTTATAACCCTGAAATAAACTCTCAAACACATTATAGGCTCCTCCTTGTTTCCAACAATTTGGAACTGTCTTTTAGTGCGAAACTGTCTCCTATCACTTACATGTAGAATTTTAAACATTTCCAAATTGTCTGGAAATATATATTATAGATTTAGAAAGAAAGTTTTGCGAGAAAAACAATGCATAATTTGCCATAAATATTGAAAAACAAATTATATACTGAGAAAACGTCAGAAACAAAGAGGAATATAAAGAGTTTGAGAGTTTATTTCAGGGTTATAAACTATTCATATTTGAACTATAAAGTGTTCTCTCATTTCATAATAAAACACAGTATTTAAATATTTAAAAATTAATTTTAGATCCCATAGATAGGTATACTTGTGTATAATTTATGTACATTAATTTATTTAAAGTGATAATTTTTGTGTCACTTTTATAGATGAAAAAACATGAATGTCTTATATATCTAACATTATTGCTTTAAAAATTGCTTGAGGGGAGAGGGTGTCTGTAATACTAGTATCCAGAAATCTATTTTTACGTTTAGTTTAGTCGTTAGTATTCAGTCCTAGTTATTACTACATATTTAAGGTTTATTTTATCACTTATTGAAGAACAACCTTTATTTGTAGCGGCTAGTATGATCGCCACATTTTCAGCAGGTCTCGTTTTCGGTTGTTTTCTGTTCTTGGCAATGATAGTCCTCCTTTGCAAATTCAGGCAAGTTTTCTCTTCTTTTTTTTTTTAATCAGAATTCAAAACTCTTGATGCAAAGAAGAAAAACCGTGAAAAAAATCCCTTTTTTTTTTAAAGCGGCCGGGGTGCCAGGAGTGTAATTGAATGAAGTCCATACAAGTAAATTGAAACATAAATGCAAATATTTTCCAGATAGTTATGTTAAATGGATATTGTATTCATACATTTAGAATATTTTTTTTTAACTTATCTAGAGCAAACTGGATAAAGAAGATTATAAAACAACTGCCTGTTGGTTATAAGGATGACAGCGAGGGAAAACATGAAAAGGTAAAATATGAAATTCTGTTGGAAAAGAGAAAAATTAAGGCTTGAAAATAGTTAAAATGATTATGAACATGCCTATACTGTATTTAAACATTACATTTTACAAATAAAAGATTTAAATTGATCGTTTAATGATTTTATAATCTGTCGATAGATACTGATGTCAGGGTTACAGATGATGTTACTAATGAAAAACTTTTTTTTGAACTTTGGGAAAAGTGTATTATATAGAGGTGTAAATACGTACTGAGTTTATCTTGATCATTTTCAACATAGGGTACCAGTCATATCTCCAGGAAAAAATGTTCAAAGACAATGAAGTATTAGTGAACAAAAATCATTGTTGCTTAGTCACATTGGGGATTCCTTCCCAAAAATGTTTTTAATTCCTTTATCTTTGTCTAATGTTAGGAATACTTCAATCTATTTCAAGTTGTGTCATTCACTTTAAATATCCGTTTATCCTATTTTCAATAAAAGAGCAGATCACTCTAACTGCATAAACCAACCATGGAAAAAGAACTCTTCAGTGAGCAGTGTTTAGAGGCTTCCTTAATTTGAAATGTTGGCTTATGAAGAAAGACCCTGAACAGAGGCAACAAGCGAGAGAGCGAGAAAGCGAATTAAGACAACAAAGCGAGAATGCTACGTATTAACAAAGCGTGCTATTAAAGCCGACAACACGAACAAGAAATGTGCAAGAACGGCACTCTCATCGTCGCCCTCGATTTCTCGTGTTGTCGCTACCGCGCGTTATCGCATTCAAATTCTCACTCATTTGCTTTGTCGCCGTTGCACTCTTGCCGCCTCGCTTTGTCTCCCTAGCTGCCTTGTCGCTCTTGCACTCTCTCAAGCAATTTTTTGACCCGGCTCCTCGCGTTGTCTCCCCAACCTAACATTCCAATGCCGAGGACCATCATATTATTTTCAATTTTATCAAATTAACAATGCAAACAGTAAATAAAATTTTCTGTAAGAATGCCGAGTTTCTACCCATAGGTTTCAAAGAGCGTAAGAATTTGAACAAAATATTTTGCTTGCTAGTTTTAATTGCATATACTCGAAATTCCTGTAGAAAATTTTAAGGCAGAGTTGCTATTTTTTCCCATTTGTTTCTACTAAATTAGCCTGGTTCTTGAGAAGATACACGTGTCAAAGCAATTTGTTAATGAGTTAAATTTCATACATGTATGTATATAACTTTAATGTATAAGGGGTCAAATATGTGTCTTATCGCTCTTGGTCTTTCAGAGAAAAACGTACACCCTTCGAGGACCGGAACCAATTCCTTCTGATTCTCCTGTCCTCATGAGGAGAAGGCAGAAGACAGAATCCACTTCAACAGAGAACACCCATGTTACCCAACAATCCATGTATTCTAGTCCACGAGACGTAAGGAAACTCATGGATGCCGAGGAACAAAGTCACGTGAAGCTTCAGTCCTTGTATTCCGCACCACGTGATCTTATTCCAACTGATGCTCGAAGTAGTTGTCTTGACCAGCTTGGGCTGGAAGACTACATGCTTAAACCCGAGGAAGCCGATTTGTCTTCCACAAGCCAAATTGCGACCGAACCATGTTCAAATGATACAGACAAAGACGAAAACCCGTACAGTTTCGTTCGACGTTCTGCTGGAAGACAGCTCAGTCAGTTTTCATATTCACCAGCTGGGAACGATATTTCACGGTCAGAATCTAGACTTGACTCCAATAGTATTCTCAATCCCCGAGATGAGCACAGATTGTCGGCATTTAGAAGATACAGACGCTCGACCTGTCCAGATTTGGGAGAATTCGGACCTAATCAAGGAGATTTACAGTCACAAAATGCAAATGTCAAAAGAGTTTGTATTTTATTAATTTTTTGTATTAAGAATGTTGATTGGAAAATAAGAGAGTGATACATGTAATAGTATCAGTTTTAGAGTTTTTACTGAATTACATGTATACTGGTTCATCTTTGGGTTTTCATGTTTGATTATCTATTCCAGAATTCTCACACAGGATCGACACATCAATCTAAACCACCAGAGGAACCATTTTATTACACACTGGAAACCGTACATCCATACCCAATCCCTGTCTTAGAGGCAACCCAGAATACCCACAGGACGTCAAGTTACTCCCAACATTCCTCGTGTTCTAGTTCCGGCAACAGTGACGCACTTTCAAAAAGGTATTCGAGAAGTCTATCCGAGAAAATATTGAATGAATGTCCGTTCTTGAGTGTGAACTTTGATAACATTTTTGAAGAGTCAAGAAGATCTAAAACAACTTTATAAATACATGTATACGTAATACTTTTCATTTCCTTGTATCAATTGGGACTTTTTTCAAGGCGTAACAGGATTTTATTCTGACCCCTATCAATTATTTTACTGTTTGTACTTTAAAATCTCCTTTTGTTGAGTAAAATGAAAGAAATCCTTGGAACTTACTTGAATAAAATGAACAGTACAAATAAATGTAAGGTTTGCTAGATGTTTATTTGCGATCTCTGCCCTAATATATGTACAAAACGATAGTAAATAAACTTGAACAAACATATAAAAGGCACAAAGCATTGCATGAATTGACACTTGGTGACACAAATTGAGACAGTACATTTACTGCAAAACAAGATTATTAATAAAGAATGTGTTCTTTTTTCATGTACACTGTTAGCACACATATTCTAATTACACAACATGAGGAACTGAAAAATCAGTTTTTGTTTGCATCAATGTTATATTTTAAGCACATCAAGCAATGTTGTATACATGTGTATTTTTTATGCTGTCCAAAATAACGATATGTTTTTTTAAAGAAAAATTTGAGCAATGCATTCAAATTTCTATATTCTGTGAAGAGTTTTAATATCAAGATTGTTTTGAATAGAGTACTTTTGTAGTTAGATTTCACAGTGTGCCACCAAGCGTTTTTAAAAAAAATGGAACACAGATTTAAAATGGCTGCCAATTTTTCAACTGAATATCACATATCAACAAGATAATTGGTGTATTGCTTCTTGAAAATTAAAAAAAAAATAACAAACTCCTACTGAGATTAAAATTTCAACATATAAAAAGTTGTCTGTCTCCATCTAAAGGGATTATAAAAATTTCAACGATCAAATAAATTTACAGATGTAAAGTACAATTTTTTAAAGCAACATCATATTAACTTATAAAAGAGAGTAACTGAAAGGCCTTTGTTAACCATATAGCATAATGTCAATCTACAATAAGGTGTCAGCCATTCAAACCAAAGAATTATACCTACATTATAAACATTAAGTCCTATGGGAGAACTGAGTAAGTTACATAAGAGAATAAATAAAAGTATCACTGGTCATTATATTATATGACCACACCCAATCACAACCTTTGACCTCTGATTGACAGTTGAATATAAATACTGGATAAGAATCACTTTTTTGCAGACTCCATACACACACAATTATATATAAACTACACAGTATGATCAACATCGACAATAATTATAACACAACATGGAATATAACAATACAGCACTAAACTGGTTCTCAACAGTGGAAATACTATACTGGTACCAGGCCCATAGACAGAGATATGGTGCACATTACAGATCGCCTTTTGAACACAGAACAAGATTTGACATGAAATAAATGATTGTCAAGAGCTTTAAACTGGTTTTCACTGAGGCAGTTAACAACTTTGTCAAGCTTGGTACCAGATTTGTTGCACAAAAAAATAAATAACATAGATTGGTCAGTATGTACAGTGTTATGGTTAGGATATTACACATTGCTTCTGTTTCACTCTGTGTCGACCGGTCATCCTCTGCCGCATTGCACTATTAGCTCCTAGTGAGATACTCATATCGTCTACATACGATATTCTGGTACCCAGACCTTGACCTCTCTCATCATAGTAATAATCGTCCGAGTCACTAGAACTAGAGCATGTGCTACAATAATCATCGTCACGGTAATTGTTTGAATCAGACCAATGACCTTGACCTGGGTCACGCCTGGATATTCTATCACCTCTTCGTCTTTCATGACGACGACTGTGTGCCCTTTCTGAAGGCCGACCTTCAAAACTTTGGCTTCTGGGATAGTCCGACACTTGCAGAGGAACTCTTCCAGATGGTGGTCTATTGATGGGATTCATTCTCACATTGTCCGGTAATGGAGGTAAACCATTGTTTACATTTTGGGGTGAAGTATTTAAGCGTACATTTTGTTGTGGTGGTGGGACATTTTGGGGAGAAGTATTCACACAATTATAACGTAACTCTGGGAACGATCTTGCAGACTCAGGATTTCCTAACATGCGATCCACTGGTCTAATAGACCGATACTCCTGGGATTGTTGTGAATTATTTGTACGTTTCATACTTCTATTTGGCACATCATACATGCATGGTAACTCCTCATATTCATGATAGCGAGAATTTAAATTTTTCTCGGATCCAGAACGACTCCTGCTCTGAGAGTTCATTTTTCCATTTTCTTCGATGGGACTAGACTGAGGATCCTTTGAAAGATCTGGCATGGAGAATTGCGAGAGCCTCTTTTTGAGTTTGGCTTCATGTGGAACAGGAAGAGCATCAACAAGACTATCCACATTCAGTTCGTAATTTGCACTACACTGACCTTGAGAATTTTGAGATCGTGAAGTGTCATACATGCCTGGTGCATACACCTCACTGTTGCTACTCGTAGCGTAACCTTGATCACGTTCTGATGATGGCAGACTGTCCGATAATGAATACTGTTGTCGTAATGCTTCCTGCATTCCCATAGTTCCTTGTTCCTGTAATGCGTGACTTACGGGGGAACCTAATCTCATGCTATTTATATCATGAACGTAATCCTCTGGTCTCCTAGGAGTTTGTGTTTGCATGGAAGCAGCTCGACTGCAGGCTGCGGAACAATAAATCACACCATGTTTGGGTAGAAATGGCTGTCCAAGCAAAGACTTTTGACACGTATGACACTTAAAGCAACGTTCAGTGGCATGCCAGTGTTGACCTTCATGGGTCATTTGTCCTTGATCCACTCCTATATGTTCACCACAAGTGTCACAGTATTCGGCATACATCCTCTCGAAACAAACACAGCAGTATGGCCGACCTTCCTTCATGATGTATCTCTGACCTCCTAATTGTCTATCACACTCAAAACAACAGAAATGCTTCATGTGCCAGCTCCTGCCTTCAGCCTCTGTGCACTCATCAGCAAAAATTATCTGTAACAGGAAAATGAGCATTCAGTTTTTTAAAAAACATCATTAATAGAAATATTTCAGAAATGCATTCATAAAGTTTATTTGAATGTCAAATTCAACAATCCCCATTCAGAGGGCAAAAAGCAATTTAAATCAACATATTCAATTCACCAAAGTGAAATATGTGACACAAATTATTACTTATTTACACTTTCTCAATACCCTTTAAATTCCTGCTTATTAATACTTCATATAAATCAATCAAAAATGTTCAGCAGAAATGATTTTTTGGATTAAATAATTGCTTGCATATAAGGTACAGCATGATACAAGGTTTAATAAATTACATTTTTACATGTCAACCTAACATAAACAGAAATTTTAAATTGTCAATAATCACTTCTCCCCCACCCTCTCATTGCACTGACTACTCCCCTCACCTCATCACATGCTCCACAGCGAGGCTTTATCAACTCAGCATGATGTCGTCCACAGTACAGAAACTCGTCCTTGAAGAAGTAAATCAAGTCCACAAGAAGCTCGTCACAGGTCATGCAGGTGAAACACGATGGATGCCAGATTTTGTCATGCCCTGCTCTGGTGGCAAAAACTGCCATGGACCCACCCGAGATCATTTGCTGACACTGTCAATAAAAAGACTTACCAGGTAATTATCTATAGGCATTTAAATCCAAATGTAAAAAAACCCCCTATTTTTTACTTGATTTTTTTTTCAGTGTTAAACTTCTTTTAGCAAGCAATATCTTTAAGAGTTATTCCTCTTGTCACTGACAATGGGCATCTTAGTGAGTACAGAGGCATTCTCACCTTGCAACAAATGACCCCCTGCATAGTCAGGGGTAGGGGTCTCACACTACCCCTCCCCAGGGCCTCACGTTTCCTCTGCACACTAAACATCCGTAGTTCCCTCTTCTCTTCTTCTGTGAGGGTGTTACAGTAACGAACCTCATTGTCATGGGGAGGTAACTGCTGCAGGAGCTGACGCACTCGGTACTTCTCACCCACACTGTTAAGAAATGGCACCTTGTCCTCGGGGAGGGAGGAAAAATATTGGTGAACCTATGGATAAGAAATTTTTGAATCAATACATATGTACATGTACATATTTTTTTTGGTTACATATTACATGTATATAGTACGTATTACATGCATATTTATAAAGTTTTAACTTTATTCAGGGATAAACAAAATCCCACTCTGAGTAATTCATTGTACATATGCATAAACACAAGATATGCCCCCTCCCCAAACAAACAAAGAGGGGGAAACAAGAGAAACGATACCAGTTATTTCCTCAAATCTGACTGTAAATCATATGGTTTTTGTGTGTATTAATCAATCACTACATGTTTATGAATAAATCCTTTACCTCAAGCCATAAAATTATTTTTCATGTGTATCACTAATCATCTTTCAAATATTGAAGGAACACAGCTGTGTATATTATTATTTTTTTTTTATTTAAATAAAACTTATTCAAGGACAGTATATGATGACTCACCCCCCTCCCACACCCAGCTTTTCCTTCATGCCTGCCAGATATCAAATTACTTTTGACCACAGAGAAAGAGATTTCTTTTCAATGTACAATTAATTTCACAAGTACAGCATCTTGCTATATAGAGAAATTTCCATATAAACTGCATTCCTTTAATGCATAACAGTTTAGATAACAGTTTACAGCTGTTGCCAAATACTGTGTCAACGCCATTAAATTTTGCCATAATTGGTAGCAAAATATGACCCAATAATGACAATTCCTTACAATAATTACAAGCCATTCAAAACTCTTTTTATGAATTTTTAATATTCTGCACACAATTTCTCTCCACCCAACAAAAAAGACAACAATGTGGCCTTTTATTCTTTGACATAACCTATCTATGTGATATAATTAATGTCAGCCATTTAAGGAGGAAAATTGATAATTAGATAGCTGTCACATCATGAAAAAACCATAAAGATGTGTCAGTCCATCCAAGCAACAGCAACAGACTACAAATCAAAGGTATGCTAAAAAATACTGAAGGTGTTCTAAAGAGTATTCAAAATGGAATATCGAGTATCTTGTAAAAGAGAAGAAAAAATGTAGAAGGCAGTAAGGGTCATTATTTGTCGGTGAAATCCAGAATTTTTTTAATGAACCTTGTAGAATTTACTTTCCTTGAAGATAAGGAAGAGGTTAAACAAATTCACAACCTCACAAATAACAGGGCACAGTGATTCATTGAAAACTGACTTTTTTACAGTCTCACTATCTGCCATGCCAGGAGTTAATAAAACTTATCTAAGGAAGTCAGGGCTAATTTCCCATAGGGATGCTACCATATTTATATATATACATATACACTTAGAGTTAGGCACTTGAAAACAAATTTTGGCCAAAAAAAAAAAGAGAAAGGTAAAGATTGACAATTGATTGATAGAAAAAATCAGCAGTTTTGATGCCAAAATTTCTGGCAATTTACACCCCCTAGTCAATGTTGCTGTGGAGCTTTAATCAAAGGGTAATTAGTGAATGCCAGAAAGAGCACACAAGATGCTCACTCCTAATACACAAAACAAATGTTTCTTCCTCTTCAACAGTTAGGTTTACATCTCTGTGTAGTTTCCTTCCACAAAAAAATTACGAGATGCCGTAATGTTTGCTCGAATTGTCAGCCTGCAGTTGTAATTTACATTCCACAGGTGACAATCATTGTGTGAAAATGATGTCTTCATCAGTCAGTTTGAAATCTTGTTTAGAGAGCCTCAACATATGTTTTAAAGAAAAAAAAAAGAACTGAACTTATGTAATTTTACATTAATAAGCATTTATCCAAATTCTCAATTCTATGTAACACAGTTATTCTGGCAAGATTTCCACAGTGCTCAATAAAATATAATGATATCCTTAAGTCTATCTGATAATGGAGTAATTAATAAAGGCAAGAAGATGCACTTTCTAAATTTACGATACCTAATATCTCAGTTTTTGTCACGATTAATTATCGAATAGAGATGTACGATACTGATATATATATGTATATAAGTATAATGATTAACAGATGAAATGACGATAAAATCATCTGATTCATGGCAGTCCAATCTTAAGTTCATCGGCTCATCTTCTGTGAGCAACATTAAGCGATATCTTCCGAAAACCACAAAGAAAATAAAGAACTATGAAAACCATGATTCAAAACTTTAACAAGAAATGAATGTGTAAAAAAAAAAAAAAAACTTCGATTAGAATCTACATCAAATATCAACATTGAGAAAAGCAAAAGTACCATGCATGAACATTAAAAAAAAAATCACCCTTCATTATTCCCAATCGTATGGAATAAAAAATCTTTCAGAGACTTGGAGATTACAACTTCTGACAATATCCCATATCGCATGCTCTGTATTGCTCATGCCATTTTCAGACCTTGCCTGCATAAATCATTTCTACAATTTTTCTACCACATTGAACTTCTGCTTTAGAGTATAATAAAAAATGGCTCCACGCTCCACTTTGGAATTTTATTACCCCTTTTAGTATTCTTACGCCATGATTTTTTTTTTTTTTTGCCTTTAGTTGGCTATGTATATACTTCTCGTAAATTTATCTATATCAATGACAAGGCATTAAACAACATCTAAAGGCTGTCATATCAGATGGCTTGACGTGAACTCACACAAACAATTGCTTATGCTGCGATTACTGAATTTTAATTAACCAAATATCTAAATCTCTTTGGATTAAAATCTTAATTTGATTCCTGAATAGCGGAAAAAAAGAGGAGTTGAAATGATTCATGGGCACTCTAAATTGCACTATATCATAATGTGCACAGTAACGCTCAGCTTAAAAATCCATTCTGAATTTATTCTACAAAACTGAGACTGTGTTTCATAGTGTACTTTTTCTTCACATTTTTAAAAGTTATGCAATGAATATAGCTGCAGTTACATAAGGAATTCTGATCAGAAACTAAGAATTCCTGTTTCACTCAAACTCTTATCATTCTTTAATGTCATTATTTTATATATTCTGAGAGTTTACAGGAACAAAAATACAGTCAAACCTGGTTATCTCGAACTCGATGGGATCGAGAAAAAACTATGAGATATCCAAAGGTTCGAGATATCAAGGGTAAAATACTGAAAGAAAAAGTACTTGGGACTTCCATATCACTTTGACATATCCATGATATTCGGGATATCCGTGTCCAAGATACCGAAGTTCAACTGTATTTCACTTGTAATTACATGTATCTTACGTAGTTAGGGTGAATAAAATTCCATATAATATCAAAGTTTAATCAATCTAATGATTCTCCTTTTTTTGAAAAAAGAAATCAAATTATATTTGAACCAATGAAATAGATTATCTTGATATTGGACTTTGATTTCTGGAAATTAGCAACTGACGCTTGTCCAATAATTCTTATTGAGTAAATGACAAGATGAAAAATGATTGTCATGAAATACTGCATTCAAAATATTTGTGGAACATTTGGTTCCCAGGCAAAAAAATCTAATTGATTTTAATAAAATAATTATTTACAAGTGTCGGATTCAATGCCAGGAATATCACCCACCTTATGTAAAGAAAAAGCATTGATTTTAGAATTAGACTGCAAACAGACATATCTGTCAAATCAGTCTGATATTGCTCTTTATGCATTTAATTAAATATGATTGGTCAATATTTAAAGCTGTGAAATGATTGCGGTAGAAAGCTCATCAGTAATTACCACTTGAAATTTTTTTTTTTTATACTTGGGGATTTATAATCTGAAGGTGCTTAAATTGTGGCACAGCAGTTCCAAAGTGTCACCATGCACTTTAATCAATAACACACTGTGCACTACCAAGTTGCACTTCGGGTAAGCAAAATGGAAATGGTATCGCACTGCCAGGTTCAAATACATGTAATACCTTGCACTATGCAATGTAGAAAATTGTTTTGAGAGGACATTTAATTTTTTAAAAACTATTATTTAACCTGTTAAATAGTGATAGTCTATATAGTTCCATGAATCATCCAAAGGTATTGCAGAATTCTGTGACCATTTTGTACTTTAATTATAATTTAATGAAAGTGCAGTTATTTTTGGCAAAATGAGTTCTGAGGTCAGTGCATTGTTCACTGTGCCTAGTACTACTCTTGTATTTTGTAAATCACTGTATCTATGTATAAATATTGAACATGAGACTTATGTAAACTTAACATGCAAACAAATCAATCTTAAGCTATTCCACTGAAAAGTGATATATTTAAAGGTTTTTTTTCTTCTGTGTGAACAGTTCCCATTACACTTTGAGAGCCAGGATCACTTCTTTTTTCCTTTGTGAAGTATCTTGAAAGGCAGAACAAGAGTTAAAAACTTTGTATCAAGAATTCTGTTTGATTACTAGATCTTGAAGGTGTGTCAACTTCTCTGAATCAGCTGTTGTGTTGTTTGTTTACTAATGATTAATTCCATGTTTTGATGAAAAGGAAAATGTAATCCAAGGGGAGATAACACTTGCTCTTCGTCTCCTATTTTTGAAGACAGCAATAATCAACTAACAATATACATGTATGACTTTTCAAAACAAGGTCAAAGCTGGACGCTAACTCCTCAAAATTGAACAAATTTAATTTTCTAAGGACATTTTAACATCTATTGGAAGTTTAATTTTTAATGGTACTTTAAAATTTCTGTAATCCACCTTGAAGGTAGATGAGTAGCCATCTGTAGATCAATATTTAGACAGTTACACACAGCAAGTCAACATTTCTATAACACAATTAGCTGTAACTAATTTAATTTTAGTAATCCATCTCAAATTTCAAAGGTTTCTACTTGAGATCCAATGATCCCCAAAATCACAATGCACTGTAGACTTCAAAGTGAAACACTTTCTTTTGTTGAAATAAATTAAAGTAACATGACACTCTTGAGCCAATGAAAATAGAGAAATTTGGTTTAATGCTTGAAATATGACCCGTTGTCATGTTTATAAAAAGTGTAACCACTTTAATGAATGAAAAGAAATTGTCAATATCAAACTGACAACAGAATGTTCAGTGGTCAGTTTCATATTCAGTTTTTAACTAATAATAATTGGAGGAGAGAGAAATATCTTATGACTCATTTTACATCAAAAAGGTACATGTCAGTGAATACAAAAATAAAAAAATAAATAAAAATCTATTTATATACATAAGACAAATAAAAATAAAAGAGATGAGATATATTATAAATTAATTACTATATATCCTTTTCCCCCCAACTCTCTAGGCATCCCAACCTTAACAATTCAAAAATTGAGGAGTTAAATATATGTAATCATGGTAAGACTCAAAACACAGGCACCAAACTTGAAACATTTTGCAATTACTCTTCTGTGTTTGGAGGGATAAAAGGTGATGCAGCAGTAAACTGACAATAAAAGAACTGTTGTAATTTGAAGTCTTTGTTTACGAGAGTGGTCAAGTAGCTGTTTCTTTATATTTCAAAAAGATTCTGCAGACCAGCTTCCTCTTCCCTATGATGGCCAGTATAATGAAAGCCACTGAATTTTCTCATGGAAAAAGAATGCTTTGATCACCTCCTGCATTAAACTGATAAAAGGAAAAGATTAAAACAATACAGTCCCAAAAAACAGGTGCCCTTAAGCCTAAAGAATGATAAAATGATAGAGTACTCTTTAATTCAAGGAATTCCTGGAAATTAAAATTCTTCAAACAAATAAAATTTTAAGCATCAAAACCACTAGCACTAGTCTCTTGAGCCCAGCACTCTGGTACACACAGTGGGTCAAAGAGGCCCCACAACATACTTCTTGATACAGGTAATACACCATAAACCCTCTCTGATAATTTATAATCTACTTGATTAACTCTCATGGGTGCAAATAATTTAGTAAAAAGTTTATCAAGGGGAGGAGAAAAGGGGAAAAGTTATTGAAATGCTTCAAGTCCATTGAAATTCTCACAAAACCAAATACTTGGTGTTGAAATTCACACATATACTCTGGCAGTTCACCTATGAGATGCAAGGTACATGTATTAAAAGAGTTTTAAAATAATTTGCTTTTATCGATTCTCTTCAATTTGAATTTGTCATTAATAGACCATAACCAATGCTAATGACATCAACTTATTTCTTAAACTTCTTTCTGAGACACAAAATGGATATTAAATAGATAGTCAAAGAATATGTCAAAAGAGAAAATGTGTGTTTGATTCTTTTGAGACTGTGGAACTCTATTAGATACATCACAAACATTCCTACTCAATAAAATCACTGAATCCTTTTCATACATTTTGAAAAACACATGCCTTACACTCCTGTAATAATGAGAAAACTATCAAGAACAATGATAAACCTTTATCATGTGTGCTGCCATTAACGAAAGTTCCAGAAAAATTCTCTCATGAGACAGAGAGGGGAATAAAGCAGAATTCTTGGTTTTAACCCCATGAGAAAAAAAGATATATTCCATGTGGGTTTGCTGAGAGAGAGAGAGAGAGAGAGAGAGAGAGCAAGCAATCCCTTTTTGCTTAAAACTTGTGGTTGATTGACAGATGTGACTGTCTACCATAGATTGATTTAAACTGAAATACCCCATCATAAAGCAAATTACAACACCTTTCTGTCATGAGAACTCGGTGATATATGTACTTCTTAACATGTTACTTTTATATAGTTTTCCATCTCTGTCTAGAGGTTACCCCAAAAAATGTCAATAAAGCAAGAAAAACTTTTCAAAGCACCATAAACCCAGCTGGAAACGTAAATTCATAATATGCCATTATGTGCCAAAAAGTGGGTTCTGAACTACAACTTCAAATTGAACACACCAAATGTATTACTCCTGACTGCTTCTGAATGGAAAATAAATTTGGATATCTCCTAAATGCTCGTCTATAAATACATACCCCTTTCTTGTTGTATAACTTCGCAATATAGATTTAATGTTATGGGCAAAACAAAATCTAAAATGCAATTCATCATGCAGGCCGGTACAGAATTTAAAAGTTGAATGCTTGATTGTTCAAATGTTTTTTAAGTTCCTGGGTACACTGCACTCATTCAAACATGAAAAACCCAGAAAATCATTGATGGATCAAGATGTATTTTCTTTAGATCTATAAATATATACCCTGTACTACGCATTTTTCTTTTTCTAATACATGTATTTGGCACATTTCAAGTTACTAACAAAATTCAATATCTCAACTATCACGTCAATAAATTTGAGCCATTTGGGTAATATATAAAGTAACAGAATTAAGATTTTCAGCAAGCTCAGTTTTCATTCTTAAGCTTGAAGACAGATATTCTCAAACATGAAAAGGCATATGTAAATTCAATTATCTCCTTTCAAAGCCCAAATGAGTGATCTTACATAATTTGAAAAATTGCATGTTCAGGTATTGGTTATATTATGGACTGAAAGTGATGAAAAGAGATTATACAAAGCTTCTTTAATCTGCATCGAGGGGAATTTATTTCAATGAAAGTCAGTGAACTAGAAAACATGCAACTGCAGACTTCCATTCTTCACAACATATTTAGACAGATTCTGACAAGATTACTTCTCCAACAAAGATAAAAAATGGTATCTAAAGCATATAATACCTGATAAATGTTATTTTGAAGACATATAATTCATTGCTTGCAATATCAGCTGAGGATTTGACAAAAAAGTTGCCCGATTAAATCTAAAGGCATCATCCTGTAACATTTTAATCAATTTTTATGTTGGTGCTCGCAAGATTGCTGTCTGAACACTCTCTCTGATCTTCTGTTTGTAAGCGAAATTATCACACTCAATACATCTATTGTTGTGCTTTACTGCTACCTTTTACAAAGATGTGCATCCATGGTATTTTCTTGCAGTAACCTTTCTGCTCTGGATACAAAATGAGTTTTGAATAGTAAGCAAATTTTTCAGAATTTTCTCTTCATTGAATATATATAAATAGAAAGTAACAATGGAGACAGTATAACATACCGACATCTGCATTAGAAGATTTTTTATCAAATTCCATTCATTTCCATGCCAAATTCTCATTAAACTGACAACAGGCACAAGACAAATTACAATAAATTCTAATAAAAAAAGGGAATGAGAAACAAATACGGAACTGTTACGACATCTCTGAGCAATACAGACATTGTTACATGAGAATCATACACAGAAAACTTGCAGTCCTTCACTTGAATTTGTCACAAAGTTTAATTAAACCATGCAAAATTCTTTCTACACATAAAAATCTTTGACCTTATTAGCAAATGGTAATTAACCATTTAGTTATATCATAGTTTACTGCAAAACTGCTTCATTGAACTATGATATCTTGAACACGACTGAGTTGTTCACAATTTCAAGATCTGTGCAACACAGTGTTTTCAAGATCTGTGCAACACAGCGTAATTTTAATGAAAGATATTTCACCTTAAAAAGGAATTCATTATACATGACTTCAGTGTAAACAAGATTGACTGTGCACATTTTCTTTACGATACTCATATGTACCTGTGTCTCTGGTACAGACAAGAAGATTATTAAAAAAAAGATCTCGTTGAAAAATTGATCTACCTAGTGACTTGCAGAACATATATATTTTAAGGAATCTCTATTCAGATTGTAACTGATAATGAAAAATATCTAAAGACAAAGGGCATTAGAAATAGAGATATATACATCAATGCCACTAGTTAGCTGTACCACCATAGCGTAGATAGACAACCAGTATATACCAGATGTCAGAGAAGAAAATGAATGGTCAAGCTTGTCGGACACAGCCATAGAGCGGTAAGGATGGGGGTTACTGCCCTATAAATCCACCACCACAGTATCCTTACTTCATTATGCGCCATTATAAATCACCATCATTTGTCAGTCTTTATGGGGTGACAAGATACTGTTTATTTTGCCTCTTGACTATTCAGATTCATTATTTCTGAGAATCTCTTGTTTTAAAAAAAAGTATGCATATAGTTTTTTTCTGTATAGTGTTACTGTGGGGCTTTCCCATTAGATGGAACCTTTGACAACAATGACCTTTGACCAGAGATGGAGATTTTTAGCCAGTGTTTGGACTGTGGTGTCAGATGTGAACATATTTTTTTCCCCTGAAATGTTATTCTATTTCAAAACATATGATTGACACATTACATGTTAAACATTAATCTACTGTACGAATTCTACACATAATGTTCAGTTTTTGACCGAGAAAAACTTGGGTTCAAATATAATATACACTGTATATAACATTTAAAACTCTTTCTTCAAATCAACCATAAACCTAAAACTTTATGATCAAAAATCAACAAATTTTGCACTGCAAACCCTCAACAGATAAATCATTGCCCTCCAAATTTCCTAACCCCCCTGAAGCATTAGTCCCCCAACGATCAGAAAGATGGAACTGCTGATAACTTAACGAACATCTAACATCATAAACCAACAGGTGCAAGGATTTGAACAACAGCAATATTTTGAAAATATGATGCATTTTTCATCTTTCTTAGCATATAAACATGTCGTGTTGTAATAATTCCCACCACACTGTGTAAATTTTAATGAGTTTGTTTGGAGAACTTTGCCAACATATGCAGTTAAGAAACAGCATCTCAAAACTGCATAATCTCTCCCTATAACTAAATTCCACAGAAACATCTGTATCATAAAGAGCATTTTTGCTACTTGTAATATTGCATGGTCACTAAAAGTGTCAGCATGCCTGCATTCTTTACTGGCACAGATTTCATCCATTAAAACTGCAACAGCCAGATTAATGTAGGACCTATCCAGGAGATATACAGAATAATTTCCAACTATTTCACTCTCTAGACTAAAGCTTTCCTTTTCCCACGTAATGATTAAACCCCCCCCCCCCCCCCCCCCCCACAGGGCAAGCACTTGACCTTTCAGAACTTACCTGTTCTGGTTTAAGTCCTGGTGGTACCCAGGCGTACTCCTCCAGGGGGCAGCCACTGTCATCATCGGAGGTGGAGTTCCTCTTGGGGTCGTGATTTAGCCGTGTCAAGCTCCGGTCATGGTCACTGTGACTGGTCATGTCATGGGATTCTGGTGCACATTTACAATGCTTGCAAATTTTTCTGAAAAGAAAATTTATATCTTCAGCATAAATTATAATCCATGCATGTAAGAGAAGTTCTTTAAGATTGACATAGTAACATTTTAGTTCATAAGATGGACAAAGTATTCAAACCAAACCTCTGAAATCCCATGATTTTAAATTTTCTGGAAAAAAATAAGAAAAATTACCTGTGAATATTTGACCTTTATAAACCTCTAAATAACCACAGAACTGAAAAATGTATCCCTGTACACTTTCAAACTTAATCTACATAATTATGACAGCAAGGGGTGCATAAACCAGTTTGCCCAGAAATTACACCAGCAAAGCCACCGACCTGTGACTTGTTAATGGTCAACAACTCATGCATGCCAACATAAAGCCGAGGCAGGTGCGAAAAAATACACATACTGGCCAATTATTCGGACATTTACAGACTGGGTTGATAACTGCTGGTAACGTATAAAAACAGGAGTATGTTTTGAGACACAACAATGAGTGATGCTATATGATTCTGTTGTTTTCTGGCCAGGTGTTAATGAGCTTAGCAATTACCTCAGGCACAGGGGAAAATTACACTAATTATGACATTACACCTTGATATCGAGTGCTCTAGCACATCTTTGCACATATTATTATGACTTCGTAACATTGTGATCCCTGAAAGAACATCGATCTTCTTTTTGTTTTTTTTTTAAGTAAAAATCTAACTTAAAGTTCTGATTCATCTTCCTTTAATTCTGAACTAATACAAATGCACTTTCATATGATTTTTTTATGCATTTAATCTGGAAAAAAGGAATTTTAGAAAGCAATTTAAAAGTCATTTTCATACCGTTAACATTGATACCACTTTCATAACCAATAAAATCTCTTAGCAGAATACAGAATATTTAAAAGAATTTTAAGAGTATAAAAATCTAGAGCCCCTATATGCTCCATCATCTCTTAATCGAATGACATACAGAAATCTTCACACTAACATAGAAGTGATATCATTTACAACTGAATAAAATCTACATCTTCCGAAATCCGTTCTTTCACTCTGCTAAAGCTTTTATCGCCCTCCAAGATGTAGTGCATAATTTCAGCAATACTATTCATGGAATTTATAGCTACAATGATATTTTCCAATACAGCACTAAGCTTCGTGATCTGTTGCATTCAAACACGGTCCCCCCAGAGTAAGGTCTATTAGACATGAGAACGATATAGGCCTAATGTACTAAAATGTCATCTGTTAGGTCTATTCTCTCTGATCACTAATATAGAATTGCTGTCTGAAGCAGGTCCCCGAAGGCTGATTTTATTTTCTGTAGTAAGCGATTGCTATGATCTCATATTTTGCATTTTTTCCCTCTTAAAAGTTTTTTTTTTCCAAATGAGTGAAAGTTCAGCAATTCAGACTCATAAATATGTTTAAGATAGGGGTGCAATTATCAAATTGATATTTCTCATGTATGGCAAGATACCCTTTTTAAATATCAAAATTTCCAATGCATTAATATTTTCAATATTCACAAATTACATGAAACATGTTTACTGAATTGAAATGGGAATTCCTTACTTCTACATATAAGCCTTTGACCTTGTCAACTGTTGAGGAGGAAAAACACATTTATAATTGTGCATTTTTTAAGAATATTAATGCCTCATTTGTAGATTTCAAGGTAAATTTTGTTCAATTCCCATTTTATTTACACCTTTTTCTGAAGCTTAGACAGTGTCTGAAAGAGTTTAAAAATTCAGACCTTCAGATCATGATCCCAGCATTGTTTTTATTCTTCTTCCATGATTTTCCCCTGAAAATTGCTTTTTATTAAATTTTGTACAATTAGAATTTCAAATATATACAAAAAAGATATTACATTTATTCAAACTTTTCATCTAGTATAATAGTTGTTCAATAATCCTAGAAATACCAATGAAAAGACTGGCCAATATCTCAGTCTACAACTGAAGCATACATTAAGATGCCCCTGAGTAAAATCAAAGAATATGATGATACACTAAACTTCTTGACATTGAAAATCACCACAGGAATGCAAATTATCAATTAAAGGCTATTTTGTGTAATTTTAAGGTTCTTCAAAGCACACTTTCTTGGAGCTGGATAATCTCATTAAAACTCAACAACGACAGTATACTGATTCTGAAATAAACATAACGACCATGGCATATCCTGTTTTGCCAAATTTCGGTGATCTTTTGAATATTGAAAAGGTTCTTTCTTGTGGGATATGAATCTATCATTTGATTATATAGCCCAAACCCTGGGAAAACATTACCATAATTGCATGATGGTAAAACATCAGAAGTCCATATATTTCATACAGGAGGCATTCTTCATAGTAATCAAGATTCTATAATGATCCCCATGTATCCCCTAGATTTCCTAAGTCTGACTTACACTAAGATTCTGTCAGAGTGAAACATTAGCTCTTGGACAAGATGATGGAAGAGGAAAGAAAAGATGAATAAATAAACATGTATATTGAAGAACCCATCATAAACAAATAGCTGAAGCTTTACACAGACAGAGTAGCCCATTAAAGAATATTTAAGTGAATATTTTAACCTACATTTGGTCTCTTTTTCATTTAAGTTTAAAGTCTCTGCACATTAAAAATAGCAAGCTACAATGCTAAAGAATATTGAAAATATTGTCTGTTGACTCTTTTCCTTTTAAAATGATATAAAAAATGAAGTTGATCTACTCATGAACACAATTACTGCAACAGCAGCAGATCACAACAGCTTGAGAGTGCAAAATTCTGCAACATGCAAAATGTTCTGAACCAAGTTCATTACCATTTTCTCACAAACTAAGCACTTGATTTCATTCATCATTTCAGATTTCTGCTCATTAATCAATCTATGACAATTAACACATTACATGCCTCATGCTATAGTATTAATGAAATTCTTTCTAAGCTCAGAAGTATGGTTCCATTTAGACTGGAATACAGTTTTGATTAAATGACCAATTATGAGATAATGCCTCTTGGGAAATCACCACTTAATATGGCATTCAATAGAGAGTTAAAATAATGGAAAGTTTTGCTTTTAAGTTTAGCAGGCAGTAAAATTTAGAATATTTCTTGGGGGACATCTTAAGGTCAGACGAGACGTTCCTCAAATATCTGTTTTGTATATCTTCGTAATGTACGGAAAATATTCAAAATTTTAATTACCTTCTGATTTCTAAACTGGTTTCTAATTGTCTTTTAAAACTTGAAACACTAAAAAATGTGATATTGACAAATTAACTTTTTTCCAAAAGGATTATATAGGAAACAACATCCTTTGGTATCTTGCACAAATGCCTGGTAAGGTACCTCAATTTTTTGTGAGGAAACTTGTTAAAGTAGCAGTACTTCAATGACGAAATCTTAGAAAAAATTATATATTATTGAGGAACGTATCGTCTGTCCTTAATGTACTGTATCATTTTTAGTTATTATAGAAATCAAATTATACTGATAATACAAATGCAATCAATAAATCCTTTATCATGCAGGTATCTAATAATGAAATTTTACAGATATTCCTTCCCTTGTATTTCTGCATGTCAATTAATTATTGAAAATCTAACATCAAAATCTCCCTGGAAAGCTCATTTAAAAGAGTTAGCTAGCAGTATTTTTACATGTACTCTTGTCATCCTAAAAATTCCTGCACAAAGCCAGGACAACTTCCTGTAAAATTTGATCTCATATGAAATCTGCAAGTCTTCAGAGAAAGATGTTGCATAGCAACAGGGTAATTGGTTTTAATTTTGAGCATGTTTTTACATCATAAGCTGATGGTTTGTCATTATCTCAAGGATTGTAAGCTTCCACTGTTGACTTTTTTTCCGTGGTTCCACTTGCCTCAGATGGTGAACCAAGGATGAGCTGTTTTCTCATTTCCGGCAGCCATTTTTTTTTTTTTAACCCTTTTCCTGCTCGGCATCCTACAACATCCCGCATTTTGTGTGTACATAAAATATTATTGCTCGTTTATTGCTGCCCTGAGTAAATTTTGCAGGAAATTAAGGTGTATCAGTATGTGCCAATTTAATTGAGAGCATGGCAAACGAATCTCTGTCTGGTCCTTCATTTATACCTGCATCCTCATTATATCAACTTCAAATTCTGCTATCATTTTTCCAATCTGACATTACATCATACGCATGTTTTATTATAGAATTTTTATACCTAATGAAATCACAAGAGTTTCATAATGCTTGCTCTCTCCGATAGAAGGGCTAGGATTTTGAATTGATGTCAGTTTCATATGCTCACTAATAACTGTATAACGACTTTTTAAAAATCCATACACTAATTCAGAGATTAAAAATTATATACATATCCTTGGTCTTTCCCATGTCAAAATATAAAAGCGGGAGTTTAGAGACTGAGAAATCTCCAATTTTGGTCTATAGAGGTCGGAAAATTTAATTCCATGGTGGTCTAATCAGGTATCTTCAAACAACCAGATATATATTAGATACAAAAAAAACCCATGTGTTTTGTATTTTCTGAACTACCAGAGAGAATATCACTTTTTTAAAAAATGGTCTCTCTCATCCTATCGTAATCTTGAGGCACAAGGACATGTGTGATAAATATTATTCTTTTTCTGTGCTCAAGTTTACCGTGTTCCAGGTGCGCGGGTGTGTAAATGAACGTTGTTGCTCGTGCTGGTTTTCCGGTGTACTTACACTTGAGCAACTGTCATTCTTCATCAAACTCGAGAGCTTCTTTTGGCTGGCATGAGGCTCACCGATTCATATTCCACACAGTATTGAGGCAATTCTGTTACCTAATATCAACTCCAGTATACTCGGATGATGTTGGTCTCGTATGTCATATAAGGCAATAATGATATAATAAAAAGATTTACAAAATATTTTAACATAAAACTGTCTAAACCTAATTGATTTCATCTCAAAGCACATCATTCAAAATTTGGTGGATTGTCTTTAAGGCTCATAATAACTCATTACCAGAAACAGCATGGACTCAGAAAAGAAAA